CCCCCCTCCTACCCCACCAGCAAGATCCCAATTTTTGCCTGGCAATCTTGTCTACTTCCCATAACCAGGAGGATAGCTATATGTTTTTCTTTGGGATCACCTTCTTATTTAGCTTCTTTTGGATATCAAATTAGTAGACTCACTGACCTTTATTTATCTCAAGAAACCATCCCATGTTCATCTTTTTGGGTCTGGGTTACCTCACTCAGGATAGTGTTTTCTATTTCCATCCATTTACATGCAAAATTCGAGAAGTCATTGTTTTTTACCGCTGAGTAGTATTCTAATAACTTTTTCATTAAATCTACATTATTATCTCTTTTTTGCTTAGGGTGATTAGATTATCCTACTAAACTTAGCTCTCTTACCTCTAAGAGCTGCAATGCCTTTAAATAAATTATCTTGGTCTTTGCCATAAATAGCATAATCATATTAATGTAATTGGTTCATGAGAAAGTTTGTGAGGACACCATGTAAGCAGACACCTCTATTTTACCAATGCACTATATTTAGCATCACTAAAAGGACCCACTCCATAATACTCAACCTAATTACTAAAAATTAATTCACCAGAGCTTATGATAATATTTATTTTTAAAGATTTTTAAATATTGACAATAATGCAACAAAAGCATCCTTAATTTATATGAAAATTTTAATCATGATACCCAGAGAGCAGTCTCAGGAACTTAGTAAATATGATTAGTTTACTAGCACTTTTAGCAACAAATCATACTATACTTCGTGGCAAAGGAATATATAGAGAGAGATTTAAAAAAAATCTATGTTTGCAAGGACTTTAAGAAAGGCTGTATCGAAACAAGGAGACTATTTCGTTATCTCTATTTCTTTCTAAAGAAGAGAACACCTTTACAAACTAACCAACAAGTTGATAATCCTTCATAAATTTTTTTCCACACTGAAAGGAGAGTATCTGAATATCCTTGTGTAATATGTAGCTTAGTCAGCTACAGTCATTCAGGATGTTACTGCTGCCTTCACTTGATAATTAATGGCCTCTCTTCAAGCTATAATTTGTTCATTCGTTCGTTCTGTCAATTAATGTACACTGTGAATTTACAGTGTGTATATTCAAATATGTTTGACATTTCAAGAATATAGCATTAATTTAACAAGAGGTCTCTGCTCTAACATGGCTTACATTTTGGAAAAAAAGAGACAAAATATATAAATGAAACAAACAAAAATCAGATGACTATTAAGTAATATGATATAAATAAAATGAAGTAATATAATGGACAATAGTAGAAAACAATAGAAAGGAAATAATCACTGAGACGATGAATGCAGAGTTTTCAGAATGAATGGTTTTAGAGATGATCTAAATAATAAGAAACTTTGTAAATGTATAAATTAAGGATATGTAGAAAGGCATAACCGATACAAAGAACAAGAGATTACATATAAGGGGAACAACGTCAGTATAATTGAAGAATGTTGAGCATGTGGGGGTATTACATGATATGGAACTGTGAATGGTAGGTAAAAAGCTAGGACTTGTAGAGTCTAGTGAGTATGCAGAGTATATTGGGAAGATAGTGAAAAGCTTTAAGTGGTGTGTATGGTGTGCACTGCTGTCTGTGGGATAGAGGTAATAAGAGAAAAGATGGAAGTGAGGTAGTTATTGTGGTGATAAGAAATTGTTGGATTCTGGTTACAGTTTGGATATACAGAAACAATAGGACTTGGTGATAAATTGAATGTGGGTATGAGAAAATGAATGAGGGATAAGTCTTAATTGTTTGATCTATGTTACTGAATAGATTATATAAAATCTACTGGTGGAAGGAGCAGATGGACAGATGGAACCAGATGCAGAAATTCACAACCAAGCACAAGATTGAGCTCTGGGAATCTAATCAAAGAGAGGGAGGAGGGAATATATGAGCAAGAAAGATCAAGATCATGATGGAGAAATCTACAGAGACAGCTGAACCAAGCTCGTGGCAAATCATGAACTCTAGACCAGCAGCTGTGGAGCCCCCATGGGCCCAAACTAGGCCCTCCATATATGGGTGACAGTGGTGACGCTTGAACTATCTGAGGTGCCCCTCGCAGTAGGACCAGGAGCTCTACCAGTGCTTAAGCTAGCTTGTTGGAGCCCATTCCCTATGGTGGGATGCCATAATCTGCCTTTTTGAAGTGGGGAAAGGACTTGGTCCTGCTCCAACTTAATGTGCCAGACTTTGTTGACTCCCCACGAGAGCCCTTACCTGTTGGAAGGAGTGGATGGAGGGTGTGTTGGAGGGGAGATGAGGGTGCTGAAGGAGGGGTAGGATGAAGAACTGTGGTTGGAATGTAAAATCAAAAAATTGAAAATAAATCTACTGGTAGAGAAGATTGATGGAGTAAGTCTGAGTATGTGTGTGTATGTGTGTGCACATGGTGAACCAAGCAGTAGTAAAGGATTTTTCCATGTAGTTTTCATAGACAAGAGTCTGGCTATATTACTTAGATGGCTCATAGGCAAAATGAGTGATTTATTATTATTTTTCAAATTTCTTCTTTTTATAATAGTTATCAATATCCTTTTGTTCATCCCTTTTAATGGTTCTTTGTAAGAAAAAAAAACCCACCAAATTTTGGACCTTTCCCCTAGGATTTCAAATTCTAAATTATGTACTGATCAGAACACATGACCTTTTACCACTTCATTAACTCTTTATGCTAAATCTCAGTTATAACTATGAAATATCGAGCTCTGGAAATAGACAAACAGAATGAAAGAGCAAATTTCAACTCTTATAAGCGGGGGAAGTGATGTTAAGTTGAAAGAGTGGAATATCTCTTCCCTCAGTTCTGTTTGGAAAGATGAAGAATTTCTTCACAGACTAAAGTCTAAAATAGACAGAAATTGGTATGCTGTAACTCTAGTTCTGGCTTAACCATACATTTGTGGATATGTTATTTAATTTCCCTAAACCTCAGACTGATAATCTTAAAAATGGGACATAATTTGTTCAATTTACCTCACAGGTCCTAGAGTTGTTTTGTGTGTCTTAAGCCATGAATTTACATAATGTACTTCTGTAAAATGAATATATGGTTGACTAGGTAATTAAAATGGTTTCAGAGAAGAATGGACACTACTTTCCCCCACTTTAGCATAGTTGTTATCACTCTAAATTTGCCACTTTGATCCAGGTGAATTCATGAAAAGTTCCACCTTCAGGCCCTGAGCCTTGCTTTTCAGTTAGATCCCTGGATTTAGAGTCGGGGGAAGTTCGTTATACCCATATCCAGTCTGGAAAGCGAAACAAGCAATGCTCTCACTTAAAACTCATCTCTGTGCCTTCTTAAGTAAAACAGCAAAAGGCACCAAATGTCCCCTCTGTAGGTTAATGACCTCCCAAGAGCAGCTCCAAAGGCACACCATCTGGAGAGAGGCAAAACGTGCCTGTGGCAGCCGGGGACTACCACCCCAGGGGAGAGCGCACTTGTTAGGTTATTATTTCCAGGCTGGAAATTGACCCCCTGCTGATGCCTTGTGTGAGGGTGGAGTTTATCTGATTTTCATTTGCATATGATTAGGCAGCCATAACCTAAGTAGGTGCTACTTAAACCAAGGCAGTCCCTCTTTTCTAATAACGGAAAGTGATCAGTAAGAAATTCTAAATTAGAGGAAATCTACCCATCTCTAAATGAGATTCAATGTTGTTTACACAGTTAAATCCAGTACAGTTGGATATCTATGTGTGTTTGCAGCATATACTTATTAAGCTGTTACAGGGAGATTTTTGTCTACTTTTTTTGCAATTATCAAATTATGTTGACAGGTACGTGCTTTTAAGTCACAGATCCCAATATCCCTGCACTGTCTACTCCTGAGTATTTGCCTTAGCTATAGTTCCTTCTTGGAAGTGGGTTCGCCAATCATCCAAGCCAGCCTAACAAGCTCTTCCACAGTTGATAAAATAAATTTCCTTTTCTTTTTGTGTCCCTTTCATATATTTTTGTTTTACTTTTTTGTTAGATTTAAAAAGAAATACCTACCCAAATTCCCACTTCTTCCCTTCCTCCCATGCCCTCCACACAACCTCCTACCCCACTCCCCTCTAATCCTAGGAGAACGTAAGACACTTTTCTTTGTGGAAAGTCCAAGGCCCTCCCTACTACATCTAGGCTGAGCAAGGTATACATCCAAAGAGAATGGGATCCCAACAATCCAGTCCATGCAGGAGAGATAAATCCTACTGGTACTGTCACTGACCCCTCAGTCTGCCCCAGTCATACAATTGTCAGCCACATTCAGAGAAACTAGTTTGGTCCTATGTTTTTTCATTCCCAGTCCAGCTGGAGTTGGTGGGTTCCTATTAGCTCAAGTAAACTGTTTCAGTGGATGAATTCTTCATGGTCTTGACCTCTTTGCTCATATTGTCGTTTCTTCTACTCTTCAAGTATTTTTAAAATCAGGTACGCAATAATGAGATTATACAAAACCCCATTTATAGGTTTCATAGGTAAGTTCTTTTTGGATATTTGCATTTTGGAGAATGAGATGGTATTTACAAAAGGTCAGATATTTTTTCACCTGTGAAGAAGAGACATGGAAAGCCTTTTAAACCTGATTCTCAATCAAATGGTATCGCTTGAGTAAGATAATTAGATCTTTCCTTACAACATTCTAGTTACTGTGTTGTGTGATTTTTCTATGAAGTTCTATTTGACCATTCAATGTGTATATAGTATAGAACAATGTGTTTCTCTTCTTTAAGATGAGAAAACAAGTCTAAAAGAATTTAAGTAAACACTATGAATAATATTAGATAATTCATGCGTGGGCTATTAACCCCCGGGTGAAATCTTATATTAGGCAACCCCCTTCAAAGGATAATAACTAAAAAGCTAATAGTCTAGGATAGTAGCCTCCAAAGGTTAACTATATTAAAGAAACTTGTCTTATCTCAAATCCTCCTAGGACAACATGATTATCAAGGATTTACTGTGTAGGATGAGGACAGACTTTTGGAAGAAGTGGAGAGATGTTAATTTTACACGTTTTTATTGTTTTCTGTACCAGAATGGGAAGAAGTCGAGCTTATTTGGTAGTATACACTCATGATATACTCCTCACTTTTATTCATTTCCTTTTAAAATAATATCTTATTAATTCTTTGAGAGTTTCATATAGTATATTTTGCTCATGATCACTCCTCTCCCCCAGATCCACCATCTCCATCCTTGCTTCCTTACCTACTCAACTTCAATTCCAATTTGAGTCATCCAACTTCTCTTAGGCATAGGGCCTGCCCAGGAGTAACACCACTAAAGTGACTCTCTTTCTGCTAACAACTATCAAATACTAATGCTCTTCAGCTGGCAGAAGGACTTTGTGCCAACTCTCCAATTTCGCATATTGTCTGGTTTGAGCTTGTCGGTTATTGAGTTGTCGCATATTGTCTGGTTTGAACATATTGCCTGGTTTGAGCCTCCTGAATGTTGTCTCAATCAATCAAATACACACACACACACACACACACACACACACACACACTTCCCTTTCCCTTTGGGATCTGGAAAACATGGTTACCTTCAAGTCATCCACCTCTTCTGATTCTTTGAGTCTTTCTGTCCCTTCTGAGATGATCACCAAGCCTTGTGAGGAGGGGTGTGACATAGGACTGAGCACTTCTAACTCTTTTATTCTCTTCATGTTGATCAGTTGAATGTCATCTACTGCAAGAAAAATCTTCTCCGATGAAGGATGAGAGATGCAGTAATCCAATTTATACTTGATAAGCACTTTACTATATGCTGTTATTGTGTGTGTGTGTGTGTGTGTGTGTGTGTGTGTGTGTGTGTAGTACAGTATATGCATGACACCTGAGCCCAGTAGACTATCTCAAGGGTTATCTACAGGAGCCATTTAGTTTATTTTTGACACAGTCTCCTTTTTTCCCTTTTCTGTTTAAACAAGTAGGAAGGCTTTAACTTAGTAAAATTACATATAACAAAATAGTTATCAGGCAAGAATTGCAGTTACAATATTTATATCTACTTTATCTTTTATCATAACTAAGGAAAACTATAACTATAAATTCTTCAACTCCATCAAAGACTCCAGAAGTATATAATATTACCTAAGTAAACAGGAAGTGCATTGTAAGGAACTTCCAAAACTCTAGAATTGTTTTTGAATTCTAGATACATCTTGCTGTCTCGTCAGCTACCCAAAGTTCTTCTTTGGTAGCCCTGTTGGGATATCCATATTCAGCCTACAGGCCCATAGTATCTAGCAGACTTTTCCATGAAACAGGAAATCCCTTTTTCTTTTCTTTTCTTTTTTCTTTTTTTGATTGTATAGCGAAGCAGGGAATTTCAAAGACAGTTATACCTATATTGGCAGTTTGTCAGTCACCTTCTTCTGTATCCTGCATAACATCTCGCAGACTCTTTCATGAAGCAGGAATCCGAAAGGATTGTCTCACTTTTAGGCAAGTTAAGCAAGCAGTCATTTCTCTGCGGGTACTGCATGTCCAGTTAAGCAGTCCGGGAAAGAGCAGTTTTTTGCCCAAGTGGCTAACCAACTCCATAAGGAACCTCTTCAATGCCCATCTTCCTCTTGAAGTAATTGGTGCTGCCAGAAACAGATATTGACACAGTCTCTTATTGGCTCACAGAATAGAGAGGACTAGCTTACCATTGAACCCCAAGTATCTCCCTGTTTCTGTCTCTATTGTGCTAGCACTGCAGTTATGCACCATGATACCTATCTGTCTATATGGGTGCAATTTCTGTACTTGTTATATGGTAAATTGAAACCAGAGCCTTATACATACCATCTTGGGTAATTTTATATGGCAAGTTGATACCAGCTAGAGTCATTTTGAAAGATGGCATCTCAGTTGAGAAAATGCCAGTACCAGATTGACCTGCAGACAAGCCTGTGTTGCATTTACTTGATTGATGATTGATGTAGGAGTTCCCAGTTTATTGTGGGTGGTGTCACTACTGGTCTGGGTACTTTAAGAAATCAAGTTGAACAAGCCATGGAGAGAAAGCCAGTAAGTAGCATTCCTCCATGACTTATGTTTCAGTTCCTGCCTTTAGGTTCCTTCCCTGATTGAGTTTTTAATCTGACCTTCTCTCTCTGATGGAAGTTGTTATAGTGTGAGATATTGGGTTCCAATGGTGGATGTCAAACACTTCATATTTAACCAGTTGCTTAAATAAATAGGCCCATGGGGAAGGTGGGAGAAACAAACAACAAAAAGATCAGCTTTGAGTTGCTTATAAAAACTGAAATTGTTCGAAGTATAATTACTGTGAGTAAATATAGGGGTTACCGAGACCAAAACTTTAGTTTCACAAGTAAGAGAACTATAACCCAAAAAGAAGTCATGACTTGGCTAAAAGTACAGGGAGATAATAGTAGCAACACTCTGGGCAGAATTCAAATCCTTTATTTCTCTATATAGTTCTCACTCAACTGCTTAGAGAATTTTCCAAAATCTCTCCTTGTTTCAGCATTTCTACCAGTGTACAACACATACTGTTTCAATACATAATAATTAGAAAATAAAAGTTATTTCAGTATTATACTGAGGATAATGAGAATCCTTGAAGCATCAAGGTATTTTTCAGATTGAGAACCAAAAATATCATTAGTGAGGTTGTATATTTAAAATATTGCTAAAAGAATCTAACTCCTATTCCTCCCAAAGCTACTTGATTAAATGTGCTAAACTGAGCAGCACTAAGGGAGCTTAAAACAAATCTTTGTAAAGTTCTTTATATGGACCTAGCACAATACTGGACATTGTTGATCATACCTGGACAATGTAAAAATGTCTTACTCATAGGACTGCTGCTACTCTTCATCATGGGAATTGAATTAAGTATTATCCTACTGAGATAATTTATTCACAAATACATAATAAAGAGAAATACGATCTGATTATAATAGTTCCTACCAGTTTATCAATCTGAAACTGTAAGTACTGAAACTGAACTCTTATCATTCCTCTACTTCTGAATCTGCTCTGCCCACAGCCCTCCTTATTTTAGCTGATGGAACCTACATCTTTTTGTTTGCTCTGAATAAAGCTGTTGGCATCATCATTGATTGCTTTCACTACTGTTCAATACTATACTTTTTCACATCAGAAAATTATGCTGTCTCCACATTCAAATACTTCTTACCACTTGCACTACTTCATGAGTCCTTTACATTTTTGCAAGCCTTCTTTGCTTTAGCATCCTTCCAAGTAATTTCTGCTTGCACCTTCCATTTACTCTCAAGGAAGCAGTAAAAATAGAAATAAAATTACCGTTACTTTTAGACAAAATGCAAATCCTTTTAATGAGCTTCAAACCCATTTAGTCTCTACTCTGACCAAGCTCTGACTTTATTTCCCGATTTAGGCCCTTTTCTTAAATTTAATTAGGACAAAGAGGCTGCCTCATTGCTCCATTTCCAAAATATATTTGTTAAGCTACAGACATATAACTTTACTATTCGATACAGTTTAAACACCTGCAAGTACCTCTGATGTCATCATCACAATCAGTTTAACAAAAGTACCTATCATCTCTCAGAGTTCTCCATTGAATGCTGATTTCATTCTCAGAACTATTGTGTTAGATCGTTTCCTCTGAATGATATGCTCTTCCACTTGGGCGTAACCCCAGGTCAGCAGCTTCACTATTACTGAAGGATCTGTGTTGTGTTAGGAGCCATGGGCTGCGTCCCGCCACCTGGCTAGCTTTGTACCCAAAATAATTATATGGAAACTGTATTCTTTTAAACATTACTTGGCCCATTAGTTTCAGCCTCTTATTGGCTAGCTCTTAAATATTGATCTAACCCATTTTTAATAATCTGTACAGCCCACGAGCTGGCTTACCAGGGAAGATCATAACCTGCGTCTGTCTGGAGTGGGAGAATCATGGCGACTCCTGACTCAGCTTCCTTCTCCCAGCATTTTGTTCTGTTTACTCCACCCACCTAAGGGTTGGCCTATCAAATGGGCCTAGGCAGTTTCTTTATTAATTAACCAATGAAAGCAACAGATTAGAAAGAAATCACTCCCACATCAGATCTGTTAGAAATACAGACTTTTGACCCAACTGAAGAAAGATCTCTGCAATGTACTCAGCAGTGCTTAGCAATTCTTCTGGAAGGTTGTAATATGTTCTTTGAGAATTGCTAATGTGAATTAAACATTTAATCAAAATTAATTTTAACCTTTTTAAAATTATGTAAATTTTTTGCTATGACAGCTGCACTTATTACTACAACTCTACTAAAATATTTTGATATTTGCTTTAAGTTATATAGTAAATTGTTAAGAGCTAAACATATACAGAATGAACCAGTGCCTTTTTATTCTACATGACTGGTTTTAATGCACTTTTTTTCTGCAGATAATTTCTACTATTCTCACATTTAGCAAGTAGTTTTTGTACTTTCTGTCTGCTGTGGTTTGGTTCAGACTTTTTTTGCCTCTTTATTTGCTACGATCACTTCCACCTACCAATTCTTACACAGCTTATGCATGGCCAACTTCATATTTGATTTTCTGAAAAGTCAAATAAATAATGAAACATGGAAGAATCACTTGCTTCTTATTCCGAATTCCTATTGTAATCAATACCTGCACTTTTACTTTTCCTGATAATTTTAAAAATGTTTCCAATTTTTCTTGTTTTTAACTAATTAAGGGCTAAATTCATGATTCATATGTCATATATAATGCATAATCCTCTATGTTCACTCTCTGTTGATAGGGAGGGGCTCACTATACTTTTTTGAAGCATTATACATTTTCTGGAATTGCATTCCCAGATGTGTCATGACTGAAGATATATGAACCAAACTTCTTGATCTTATGATTTCTTGAGGCTATTTCACCTTAGTGCTGTTTACTACAATGGAATTTAAAATGAACCAGCAATTCTTTCTTATTTTCTTTTGTCTTTTTGGCTTAATATATAGTACCATTTGCTACATAATCACAGGAAGAAAAACTGTTTGAAAGAAAACAGAGAAAATTCAAGTGTACTTCTTCCGTATTTGGTGCCAAAGTCGGGAAAGGAGAGGAAAATCAATGTTTGCCAAATGGAAAACAGCAGATTTTAATTTGGCATGAAGTACTGATGATGGCATCCACCTACCAGCATGTGGTAAGAAACACATCAAGTGATAAACTGTAGCCAACTGCGGAGGACCTTTTGTTGGTATAAGCTTTCAGTGAGGTAATGTTCATAGAATTGAGCTGGTTGAATTAGTGCCGCCCATAAGTAGAACAGAGGACCCCAGACTGCCACAAAAGGGCTAAAGGATGGAGGTTAATTCTATTTACGTTTCCAAACGTCAAGATTGGAATCCCCATGGAAGCAGGTAGGATTGAAATTTAAGGACAAGTAGGATGAGCAGAAAGTGGTAGCTGAAGAGGGATTGTGGCTCTGCCGCCAGTACTACTGTACGTTGTTTCTGAAAGTAGGAAAAGGGTGATTTTCCAGAATAATTCAGCATAGAAATGCACTTCAGTTACACGTTTAAAATAAAACATAGTAATAATTTCACTATCTGATCCTCATTTACCCCAGTTACCTAGCTGCCATTCCTAAGGTATGGGCAGAGATTGTTTTAGCTTTTCCATTCATGAGGTTCTGGGACAGTGGTTCTCAACCTGTGGGTCATGCCCCTTTGGGTCACATATCAGATATCCCTCCTATCATATATTTACAATATGATTCATAAAAGTAGAAAAATTGCAGTTTTGAAGTGTCAAGGAAAATAATTTTGTGGCTGGGGATCACCACAACCTGAGGAAATGTAGTAAAAGGTCGCAGTGCTAGGAAGGTTGAGAAACATTGCTCTGGGATCAGTTCCAGGAAAAGTCTGTATTCAGTAAGACCCAGAACTCTGGAAAGCTCCACTCAACAAAACACATAGTGTCACCCTGAAAAAAGTTTGAGCACATTTTTTTTTCCAATGAGAAAACATACAGTAAAAGTTGAAAAGTTGTTCAGCTTTTCGGAATCAGTCTCTCAAACCTTCATCTAACGACCCCTCAGTCCTTCGCAGTCAACAATTTTGAATCTTCTCAATTGTCAAAGATACTGCCAGGGATAGTTTATGACTGGTTCTTATAGTTTCAGTACTCTAAAAGAGGCCTGGCAGCAGATCAGTGGTAGAGTTCTTGCCTAGTATGTACAAAGCCCTCCGTTCCATAATAAAAGCAGCAATAACAACTTAGCATGCTAAAATGACTACAGCAAGCTGTGTTGTCCTCTCTAAGTCTCCGCACCAGGTGTGTCAGCACTTCTTTTATACAATGGTATATTAATGCGTGGATGCATTTGGGGAGCAAACTGAGAACACTGAATTCTTGAGATTCTTGGTTTCACCATATTGGTGGCCTTTTCTTTCCTCATTTCCCGAAGTCACTAACATCTTGAGGATCAATTTGCAAGTCCATGTCAGCAAGTCATCCTTATGTCGTTAGTTTATGGCATTTTCCTACGCAGTGCTGCTGATTGGCATGCGTCTGTTGAAGAAGTATCTTATTTCAAACAAAATAGATGTCAGGTGCACATGTTGAGACAAGGTACTTATCTGTTTCAGAATTAACAACCTTAAATAATTTGATTTACTTCAAATTATCAATTAGAAAAAATAAGTTAAAAAACTGTTGGATTGAGATGATAGAGCTATATTTTAGTAGGGAAATAATACCATCAGCTAGTCTAAAGAATTTTAGTATGAAGATTATAAGCAGGCTCTAAATACATTGTTTCTATGTAGAAGCAAAGAAAACCTAAAATAGCCTTATCTAAAATGTCCCGCAAAGAAAGCCTGTCTTCACATAAGCACAACTTACCAAATGAGGCCCAGTCAATTTACCATGTGACTCAAAACTTAAGTTCTCATGGCACCTGGACATTCTAAGATTGAAATAATTCTCTGTGTATTTGAATGTCTTGACAGGATGGTCAGCTGTCTCTGCCCATTTGCACAAGGTTAGCATCAAATTACCTCTCATTTTAGCTGAATGAATAAAGTCTTTATTCTTTAAAGCAAATCCATACATTTTATTATCTGGTCTCGGTGTTGCCTACCATTTGTGTGGAATAAACATTTCCATTTCATTTTAATTTCATATCATTGGAGAATAATAGAGACAGTGTAGTTATTGGGCACAGCTGTGTAAATGAGTTACATGTAATCTTAAAAAGTATGCTGTCAAGTCCATAGAACCAGAGTTTCTGGTTTTCTCTTACAATCTCAATACAAGACAAATAAGAGATTTTATTTAAAACTCAGACAAATTTAAATATGTATTTTAAAGCATTGTTTTGAGGTAATGAAAATTAGCTTGAAATAACAACATTATGCTCTAGAACTGCAAAAACAAGATATTTTTGGCATAATTTTATGAAATGCAATAGCTTTTTTTCTGACTCCACATTTTTACATTTTCATGTATTATTATCGTGTCCCATTGCTATCCTATCATTATTGTAATGTTGATTTTCTCCAGTGTGAGATGGAAATTTGTTTCTGTCCCCTACAAAAGGATAAAATGCTTTGTGCAGTTGAGCAGTCATTGAACAAAAGTCACCATTGTATATGTCCTTTTGCATCAATAGTTGTGATCATAGTCAAATGTGATGAAGAGTGCCAGTGCATGGAAGGAGGAGGTTTCTGCAGGACATTTTCTAAGACAAAGTTTCTGCGAGGCTTTTACTATCTGATTTTAAATGGTTCACTGTCGATACAGAATGAACAAAGAGTCAATGCACTTGAAAACAAGAATCCTTAAGTCTATACAGTCATGTAAAACAGCGGGAAATTCTGTCATTTTTACCCACTTCAACATTTGGACAAATTTAGCGGGCAACAAGAGTTCTTACACTTACATCTCGTATATATTTACTTATCCTGTTATCAGCTAGTGTTAACTTAGAAGGCAATTTTGAACTAAATTGGTGAGTAGGGCTTGAACTTTTATTTTAAAAAATAGTTAGCAATCACCTTTAAAAAAAGGTATAAAAGACCAACAGCAAGTCCCATAAAAATATAAGAATCTTTTGATGAATAACCTTGCAGAAAGGAAATCCCTCTGCCTTCATTTTCATTTCTCTATGGGTACAGGAGTGTTAGACAATGTATAGTCTTTGGGCCTGGTTGGTTTTAGTATGTGATTTTTGTAATGTTTTCTCATAAAAAAGTTTAAAAGAAAATATTCCATGATCACTGACACTGACTCCCAAGACAAGAATTTTCTTTTCTCATTACTAGGCTGCCGTCTGCTGTCCCTGCAAAGCACCTAATATTGTGTACTAATACCATTCTCAGTATTTTCACACTTCCTAGAAAGCATGAAATTGCAAATTTCACAGAACCTGGTTAAGATACACTCCATCCACAACTCTAGACTCTGAGTCCTTTTGTTTGAAGAGTTGTTTAACAAGAAAGGTTTAAATTGGCTAATATGAACAAAAGACAGACATCTTTTTTAATAAATCACAAACAAATATCATGTTTTCTGATTATTAGCATAAATTATGTGAAAAGAAAATATAATGCAAAATAAATCACTGCAATGCAGCCTAACTTTAGTGCCTTATAAATTGCAATGTAACATATTTTGTTTTGAAAGAACAATGGTAAAAATAAAAGTATGTAGTTGGGAGCAGCGGGCAGCGTTCCTGCCGCCTGGCCCCCAGCCACCTGGCTAGCTTATGCCCCAAAATAATCACACAGAAACTGTATTCTTTTAAACACTGCTTGGCCCATTAGTTCTAGCCTCTTAATGGATAATTCTCACATCTTGCCTAACCCATATTTAGTAATCTGTATAGCACCAGTATTACCGGGAAAGATTCAGCATGTCTGACCTGGCGGCTTGCTTCATCACATCTACCCTGGAGAGGGAAGGCA